TAGGGATCAAACTCATGCTGAAGTGGCTTTAGCTTCTTGGTGTTGTGCTTTAACCTACTGCGCCACCAGGGAGGGCCCAGGACTGAGAATGCTTATAGCAGCAGTATTTGTAATAGCCTTAAACTGGAAACAATCTGAGATTCCATCAATAAAAGAATTTCCATGCAATGGGAGACTATATAGAAGTACAAATAGTAGATTACAGTAATATACAACAGCACAGGTGAATCACAAGAATATAATGTTGAGTTACATAGTAAAATGGAAAAAAAAGTAAGTTTTTCCCTTCTTAGAAAATTTAAAAATAGGCAAATTCAACTATGGTTGTAGAGTCAGGAAGTGACTACCATCAGGGAGGAAGGAAGAGTAAGTTAAATGGGGGAAGGGGGGTGTGAGTGGTGTTTTTGAATCCCTGGTGATGTTTCATTCTTGACCTGCCTTGTGGTTCATGGGTTATGTGAGATGTACAGTTAAGCTATGTGGGCTTCTCTGTAGCTATATTTTGCTTGATTAAAAAAGAGAGTAGAAGCACATGAACTGACCCTCTGTCTCTGAAGGGACAAGTTCTTGTCAATACTAAGAATGTGTTTTGTTTCTTTGTTCCTCATTTTATAAACAATGAGTGAGTATTATAAGTTCTGATTGTTGGTGTCCAGTGGGTATAGCCCAAGGCTCCTTTCAAGTTAGATAAGAGCAGGATGCTTGATCACCCTGGGGCAATAGGCTTAAATCCATAGCTATGGCCAGGAAGGGGAGAAGGGGTGGGGGGTTGGGCAGTGGTTGATGTGCTATATGCCCCAGGGACTGACCAGTGGAACATCTTGTTAATAAGATTGGAGTCATGGGTGGGAGTTGGGTGTATATCATTGGACTCCTGTCCCTAAAGCTAAGATCCAGTGTTGAGTTGGCCCAGCCTTCTCTTGTCAATAAAAAGGCTGGGATCCTGACCATTATCCTGCAGCCTGCTCCATGACTCCTGTTTCTTTTCTTTATCACTGTGGTATTGCTGATGCAACCACGTAGGAATTAATAGAGTAGACTTATTCATTGCATTTTTATTATAAAACCTTAAGTGTTTTATATAACTATTCTCCCCAGGTAAATCAAGAGCTTTGATGGCAAAATGATGACAGATACATTTTTCCCTTGGGAGAATGAGGAATTAGGAAACTTGCTCTATATGAAAACAAAGCAGTGAAGTTCAAACTTGTCAGCTTATTTTGTCACTTGCCTTCTCTCAACCTCAAATCACTTTCTGTCTCACTGAGAATAAAAGTCAAAGCCTTTTCTACTGCCTCCACAGGCTGTCTAAGTCTCCGCAGTTGCTCACATGCTACCATTTCAGGGTACTGAACTCACTGTTCCAGTCTTTAATATTCTTCACCAGGTACTCACATGGCTGCCTCCACTATTTGTTGGACAAAGTAATTAATTCATGAGGGGTGTTTATATACATTTCAAGGAAAATGCCACATAAATATTGACAGTCTTCGAACCATACACCCTTCCTCTGCCTCTATGAAGAATCTTTGTGCTTAAGAATAAGCCACAGATTCTTCAGGCCTTTTATTTTTCAATAGCTTTTTTTTTTTTTTTTAATTATATAGCCCTGACACATTTGTAACAGGAATGGAGAAAGTGAAGATGAATATTAAAAAACCTGACAAATAGTTTCTGCATCATGAAACAACCTTCAGAAGAGGAAACCTTCTTTTCAGGGTCCTCTCCCTTGCAGGTTCTGCTCAGGACAGAAGCTTCCAGATAGTATCTCAGGAAGAGGTAATACTTGGTTCCTGTGAGGCTCAGATTGGGGTGAGGAAAAACCCAAGACCCAACTATAAGAACTGGATTCTGAGCTTAGCAGTGGCTAACACTTAAATGCTGACTGTATGGCCCTGTGCTTGAGCACCTTGTTTATGTTAAGGTGTTTACTTATTACCCAATGGGCGAAGATGAAGTATGTGTGCAGCATTAGTTTCAGATCACAGCTACTTGGGACTTTATCCAGGTAGTCTGGGTAAACATGGCTTTAGAAGGAATCCAGACCATGGACTTGGGCCTAGAAGTCAGACTGGGGGAAGTGCAAGCAGGTTGAATGGGGCTCAAGAGGGTGTCTGGAATTAAGCGAGCTAGGATTGGAACAGCAGCGCCCTCTGCAGTTACCTTGAGTACTTTTTCTATTTCCTACACAGTTTTCTCACATTCTTGAATCTGCAGTGGTTGTGAGGTCATCTTACTCTACATTCCAGTTCATATAACCCTAAATTCTAGTCCTTGGTTTATCTTAATTCAAATTCTTCCAGTTTCTCTGGTTCTCAGAACACCTATGCTGGGCACATGCTTCTGACAGAGTTCCAAAGCCAGAGACCAGTTATTGTGTTGTTAAAAACAACTTCCCAGATGACTCCGAGTCAAATGCGCTTCAGAACTTAAACAGTAAAGTATTAAAAATCAAAGCCTTTAAGAGTCAAATGTACAAAATTTTTTATGATGGGGTTTTAGATTGCATGCTGGTCAGCATGGGAGATATTTGGAGACGCAGGGAGATCTTCATGGCTGGAGACTTCCTGTGACCAACTGTAGAGCCCACACTGACTGTTTAAGTCAACGGGAGCTGGGTATTGTGTTTCATCTGATGTCCTGAGAAGCACTGGGCATGCGTACAACCATATTAAGGGAAGGAGCCATCTTGTGCTGTGTCATTTTCTCTTTTCCTGTCCTTCTCCTCTGTTCCTTCACTCCGTACACACCTCTATGATCTCAACTAGTGGCCTGGTATGATGAAAGTGAGAAAATGCAAGAGTGAGTAACACTGTCCCATACTGGACATCCCTTAAGCTGGGCATTCTTAGAAGACCTATATTCTCCTGATAAGTGGTGACACATGGTGAAAAAGAGGGGCAGCAATTGTCTGTAACCACCTAAATATTTTAGCCCTGTCTCCACAGTTATCCCATATTAGAAAGGGCTCCTACATAATAATATGCTGCGTTTGAAAAGTATTGCATTGCATTGCAAAACTGCATTGCATAACTTTCTCTAATATATTGTATGACATGTATATATGCATATATATCATATTGTATTACTTTAGGATAATAATTGTATCAGCTTATGAGGAAGGAAAAAGTCTATTTTATTTTTAACCATCTCTCCAGGATGTAGGCTGGATTCCTGTTTCCAAGGTTTGGGAATCCTTTGCTCTATGGAGTGAATGAAATAGCCTCTTCTTTCTCTCCTCCCCCTTCTCCCAAACAACTTACCCCATGTCTCTCAAATGCAATCTGCAGATGTCTGTTTAAAATGTAATTAATGGCCAAGATTAAAAACTTGGGTTATTATCATGGAAATTTTGACTTCAGATTTCTTTGGAAAAGTCTGACAATACCAGACTGGCAATTCCAAAGGAAACAATTAGTTGAGGATAACTGGATGGCCCCCCCCTCCCCCGTGGCACTATGAGATAGGACTCAGCACTGTAAGCTGGCCGCAGTCACTTCAGTGTGAGTTCGATCCCCAGCCCCGGAGGTGACCCACATGGCGCGGCAGACCTCTCCTGACCCGCCCGCTGCTCCCCTCAGCAGTGTACCTTAACAATCTGTCTGTTCTGCTCCCCACTCTGTCTCTGATGAAGCCCCTGCACCTCTGGTCTGTACTCCAGTTCTGTATGCATAAATATTTTTTTTTTAAAAAAAGGATAACTGGAGAGCTGATATCTCCAGTGTATTATTGCTCCATTAATCCTCAGCAGCTCCTGACAGATGTCTAAGAGCCAGATGCTGTGATCACCTATTTATCTGATCTGCTTCAAACACTTAACATTACTTGCACCCTTGGTTTAAAAGAAGGGCTTTCTTGTGCCCTGAAGTAATAGTTTGCTAAGGGTCAGGAAGTACTGTGTGAATGGGGAGGAGTGCCCCACTCAGCAGGAGATGGACCTTTTAATATGCATGGCCACAAGCATATCCAGGGAACCTAGAGGGGCTGGACTCAGAGGGATGGCCTGCCCAAACCTCTGGAGCTGTCTCCAGCAGACTGGAACCCCTGGGCTTCAACAGTGGGGGGCTGTAGGAAAGAGATGCTTTCCATTTTTCTTCTGAAAAAAGAAAAAAAAAATGGAGGGGGTTAGTAAGGTCTTACAAGCAAGACTTAGTTGATGAGGTAGCTGTAGGCAGCTGTAATTCGAAAAATAAAGAAATGTGACTCTATTGTACCTGCATATTGTCTCAAATGGCTTAGTCATAAGGAGTTGTTATAAATATTCTTGTGCTATGAGAATTTGCTTTACAAAACATTCATAATACCTTGTCCGTGAACTGGTCACTACATTAATTCCTTTATTCTTTCATGCCCTCATGCATCAAACATTAGAGAACCCACTATATATGTGGTGTGGTAGTGTACAATAGTAAAAAAGATGAAGTTCTCGGTAGTTGTTTAGATGGGAGATAAGGAACTGGAATAGATAGAGCATTGCTAGGAAACAAGTTGTTGGAAAGCTTCATTCTGTTTTAATCTTTCAACTTCTAAGCAATCTTGAGCTAACTCCTAAACCTTTCTTGGCTTTATTTCCTTTATTTGTAACATGGAACAGAATTATCTTTAATGTGGTATTAACTTCTAAAATCCAGTGCTGAAGAAAAATGATACACATACCTGGATGTAAAGGCAGATTTCTTTTTATGTGAGTGAATACAGTTTTTAATAGGCTTTGGTTTTGATTCAAGTTGTATGATACCTTGAAATTAGTATGAAAATAATTTTTCTTTCGTTCCATGCTTTTATTCTTGAAGATTGCCTAGTTAGGGAATTAAATTAAAGATATTTGTAGCAGTGTTTGGAAGGGAATATGACCAGTGACAAATCTGTTAAAAGGTCACAATTCCTCTGCCTCTGAGTTTAGGGTTTGCTGTGGAAACCAAAAGGCAAATTGATGGCCTTGGCGAAGAAGAGACTTGCAAGAATGTTATGCGTTGGGGAAAAGGGTTTATTATATCTGTATACAAGTAAGCGTTTTTATTGGTGTTTTGTCAAAAAGAAAGAACAAGTGAACAAAAACTATCTTATTAGCCTGAAAACAAAATAATGGTCCTAGACCAATACTGAATTTAAGACTCTCAAAAGTTAACACAGAACCTGTAATGATACTTTCAGGTTGTAAAGTTAGTTCTCTAGACAATAAAATCAATTCTACAATGCAAACAACACAGGACAATAAAACACAACCAACAAAGCAGTCTCTCACTGGGGGTTAGAGAAAGGTGTGCTGGGGCCAGGGGTCACCGCTGGGCGAAGGTATTAAAATCTCATAAACCCTCCATATCTTTTCTCCATTTCAGGAACTTCTTTTGAGTAACCTTCCCCTTCTTCGTCAGAGGGCAGAGTGTCAGCGAAGCGCTTCAGGAAGCCTCCGTACCTCTTCTGGTAGTCCATCCACCACTCTGGGCGACCTACTCTTCGCATGAACCCACCATATCGTTTTTGCAGCTCTTTGGCTTCGTCTTCCAGCTGGGGGCTTCTCTTTAAGCTTCGCATGAAGCCCCCGTATCTCTTGTTTACGTCCTCATCATCACTGACCTCCTGGTGGTGGCTGTTCTCTTGATTGTCCCCGGTTCCCAGAAGCTCTTTCAGCAGGTCTGAGGAATTGCCAAGTGTGTCATCCTCTTCCGCATTCTTCTTCATGAAGCCCCCATATCTCTTGGCAATGATTTCGCCTCCATTTCCTTCATCTTCCGGCTCCACAGGATAAAGCTCATCCATTTTCTTCATGAAGCCTCCGTACCTTTTCATGAAGCCTCCGTACTTTTTGGCTAGTAGGTGGTTCTCATCCTGCTTACTGCTTTCCCTGAGGGCGCTGGCGCCATCTTGAGGAAGCTCCAGTTTGGACAGCTGCAGGAGCTCTTTGCAGGCTTCCCAGGTTTTGAGAGAAGGCAGTTTCCCTTCACATTCCAGGGTGCAAGCCTGAGAAAAGAATTTGATTCTTGTGATTTCACTACCTTGACACATTTTAGTAGATCACAAATGTCTCTGATAGGAAGCTCCTCTATAATGAGGTCATCTCTATTTTCATAATGTAGCTTTTGGTCATAACGAACAAGCAAAAATGAAACGAAAATTGAAAGGGAAAATGATGGAGAAAAACAATGAATGAAATTTAACTATTTCTTTGATTTTAACAAATAGTACATATGATGCTATTTCGATATGATGAAAGCCTTTTCCATCCACCCAAATTTAACCTTGATTGCCTGTCTGCACAATCTGATTTCACTGATAATTTTTCCACAACAGATTTCATTTTGTTTGAGCTTTTTCTAAGCAACAGGAAAATAAAATTCTCCTCATCTCTAACTAGGAATATTGTCTGAAATTCCTTTTATCTTCTTGACTTGCAGCTAAAATCAATATTAACAATATAAGGTTTGTTATGTGGTGATATTTTACCTGGAATATTACGTATTCCTGCTAACACCTTTAATCTTTAAAGAAAAACAACAATTTTAAAATAAATTTGTGAAGAAAACATTCTAAAAATTCAATTTAAAATCTGTCAATTATTTAGATTATGACACACTGACTTGTTGGAAATAGCGAGACTAAATTTCCCTTGATTGACTTAAAACAAGTTTAATCATATTGAAACAAATAGTCATATAAAATTACACATATGCAAAGCTTCAAATTATTCATTATTCTTTTCTTAACATTTAGTCACAATACAAAAAGTATTTTCCAATGGGAATTAAGTTAACTGACAAAATGGGAATGACGATATACAACTTTCTTTTTATTATATAGTGATTAAATTTTAATCAGTTTAAGTATTAAACTGTATATTTTAATAACCTTGTTACACTCTCTTCTACTTAATGGATAAATTGGGTATGATAAAAAGAGTACTAATATTATATGAACATTTATAAAATCCAAATGATATTTCTTAGCATTTTTATAGACGCTCCAGATGACCAGCCCTTAATTTAAAACAGGTAAATCTGGTCCTTTCTAGTATTTAAAAATATGTTGGTATATTAAATGAAATAAACACATTACAAATCACAATGAAAGAAAATATTTAATGCAACAAATTTCTTTAGGGTACATGTTTAAATAACTCTTAAAGATTTCTTAAGTTAAAAAAAATTAATACATGCACATAAGAAAGCCTAAAACTAATTTACTTGAAATGATCCTTCTTTAGTCTTGATAGTCATTGAAAATCACTAAAAACTTAAGGTGTTCAGGTATTAATATTTCCATTCTAAAATAAATTTTAGATGATTAATCAAAATCGATGTTGGATATTTTATATCCTATAATTTTATGGCTTTTTAGTTTTTTTGAGATTCTTCAAAATTATGACATATATTAAGTATAACCCATTCGTACTAAAGAAGTAGTGCTATATGTTCTTATAGCAGTTTGTAGAACTTTTGTAGTATTTATCCACTTAGTGTTCTTGATAAAAAACATATTAAGTGGTAAATTCAATTTGGACATCAGTCATGATTTGCCTGCTTATGTTTGTATATGACATAGAACCAAGGACAAGTGTCTCTCACATGGTGGAAACTCCATAAATATTTGTTGCATTGATTTTACTGCATAGTTTTGTCATCTTTTTGCAACTAGTTAAAATCTCCAAACTGTTATAATTCTAGTAACATGGTTGTTAAAAAAATCTTTTTTGTTACAAAGAAAATAACAGCCTTAAAATAAGTCCCAACATAAAACAAATCAGTTAAATAGAACCCAAGACTTATCAGAAGAAAAGAGATGAAGTGATTGCTACCCTTATTTAAGATGTAACATTTTCCCCCTCCTAGTTTAAATAGATAGCCCTTGTATGTGTCCTCTCTTAAAGTCCATGTAAGGACCTGCACATATCATATAAAGTGGATAGGCTAGGTGAAATGAAACAAACACTTAACCTGACTTGGATTTTATGGAATCCTTACTAAAACTTTCATCCCTATTTATGCCTTTAAGTGAAGAGCTTAGCTCCTTACATTAATAAAGTATTCTCTATTGAGTTCTTAAAGTTATCCCAGAATTTCAACAAATTAAGAGGACACATATAAAGGAATCCTTGGGTGAGTTAGTCAAAATGAAGCTTCCCAGATCCCAGACTCAGAGATTCTGATTCAACAGGGCAGAAGGAACATATCGAAGAGCACACACAATATCAGGAGCACATACACAAGAGCAAGTTCCTTTGTTTTCAGCTTAGCACCCTTCCCCCACCTCCCTTGTGGCATTATATCTTTGCATTGTAGGTACCTCTTCTGACACTGGTCCTCTCCTGTACTTTTTTTTTAATAGTCAAATTAAACCGAAGAGCAAGACGGACGTTGATTTCCAGCTCACTCGCCAGTAAGACAGTTGTTAATTACTTCATTCCCAGGTGTTTACTGTGCTTTTCCCCTTCTTTTCTTTCCCCTTTCCCTATCCACAGATGAGGTTGAGGACTGGAGAGCAACGACTCCAAGAATGGAGACAAAATATCACTAATAGAAAATTATTTGCGGGAAGGATGCAAGGAGTCTTCTGCGTGGAAGGGGCCCTTGGTAATATTATAGGTTGGAATCTTGAGCATTTAATCTACCCTGGTACAGGTGAGACTACGTGCAGCGCTCTCCGAGGTGCTGAAGAGACCACATCTGGGCTCTTGCATAGAGACAATATAGCCATTGCCCTTCCCTAGATAGTCGCGGGTCCCCCAGGTTGAGACCTAGAGCAGGACCTGGTCGACGTTCGGGGAATTGTCGGGACAGCTGTGTCGCAAGTGGTCCGAGTCACGATGACCACATAATACGCCGCGCGACGGCTGTGAGCTGTCTGCCGGCGTCGCAGTGAGAGGCTCACCCACCTCGAGTAACACTCACCAAGGGGTTGATGTCTGTCAGGCGTGCCAGGCGGTAGCTGCAAGTCGCGCAGTCCTGGCTACATTCTGCCTGCACTGTCGCCAGGAGCCCAGGGACGAGAGCCAGCAGCCAAGTGCAGAGTCTCAGGAACCGCGCCATGGGCTGCGTGGAAAAGGGAAACGCGCTCCAAGCCTGCTCAGGTGCAGAGCGGGTTCCTTAGAAGAAACCCTTGCCAGGGCGGCCCCAGCAAGCGTTTCGTCGATCAAGAACTTGTAGAAACACACTTCTCTGGGCTCCCTCCCTCCCGCCCGCCGACGCCATTTCGGGAGATTTGTGGGGCATGATATCGTGGCTCTCAAGTTATCACTGCCGCCGGCACCTCGGACTCCGAGATACACGACTCTTTCTGAGAGTCCGCTGACCAGGTTAGGATTCTGATGGCAACCCCAGAGACCAAATTTGAGAGAGGGGATCCTGGAGAGGCATTGCATTGACCTAGTGATAGACTAGCCGGAAGAAAGTTGGGGAATCTCATGCAATAAAACGAGTAAAATAGAGGTGGCGAAAGACCCCAAACTCAAGAAACAAAGACGATCTTTGGGCAAGTTCACTCACGTTGACTGTTGGGATGACGCAGGCTGGTCGGTGAAACCGCGTCCCAGGCGCGACACGACACTAGAAGGGAAGAGAAGAAGGCAGGTGTGAGTGGAGCGGGCGTCAGGAGAGCCCTCAGGGGCGAGGGAGGGCGCAACTGGCTGCAGGCTCAGACCTTATCGTCTTGGTCCCAGGAGTAGCTGCAGGGCCGCCGGGCTGAGAACGCCTCCCTCGCCTTGCGGTCCCGGGGCTGGTGGTTGCTGGAGCTACTTTATAATTAGCCCCAAACCGAAGTAGGCGAGCGCGCCCCAATCGCCGGCTGACTGCAGCTGACGCAGGGCATACGCCAGCCCCTCGCCGACGCCTTGGCGGGAGGGGTTCGCCCCGATCCAAGCACTGGCGGGGGGGGGGGGGGGGGGAGAGGGCAAAAACGGAGAGGGGGTTGCTTGGTGGTTCACCACATGGCTGGGTGACAAACCAAAGCAGTTAGGAAATTTGGTGAGAGAGTGGGATGAGACCCAGCTCCCCCGCTAAAGTCACTGAAATTGCGTTCGCTGGGATGCTGGCTCCAGAGAGAGCCAAAGTGGGGGCGTTAGGAGGGACAGGTGGACTAACGTGGATTTCTGGAAGGTGCTGCAGACCCTTCGAGCTGGTGAACCTACCCCTTTTCTCCCCCCTGGCGCACCTCTGTGGTCCGTATAGAAGCCAGGACTGCCTTTTATTCACTCTTCACCCGTCTCACAACTCTCCCTTACTGGATTTGGAGTTCTTTGCTGCAGCAGTTAATAGTGTAGTAGGCGCTCAGTTAACTTTTAAAGAATGAATAATTTAAGATTAATGAGGGACCATGTTATTCCCTTTTGCGTTGGTGAACTCCATGCCAAGTATGGACTAAGGTGAAGCTTCTGGAGCATCAATCCTCTTTGGATTGCTTGTTGTTCAGCCACTGAGGAAAGGGACCAGTTTACCCAGTACCCTAGGTCTCCACTTCCAGAACCCGCTGCCTCAAGCCCATCTGCACTTGCCAGGATGTCCTAGGGGATGTTAGACCAGTGAGGGAGGTTCTTGGGGCAGGTGTGATGTCCTAGGGTGTAGTGGCCAGGAGGTGAGGAAGGACACAGTGCCCAGAACGCAGAGGCTTGCAGTTGGCACTCTATCAGCAGGGAAAGAGCTTAAAGCCAGCGGTGGAAATTGAAGCGAATTGCTAGCTTTGCGGATGATTGCTCAGAGGCAAGTTATTTACCTTTTTTAAAACCCGAGAGTCCTTCCAGTTGGAAAATAGGGACAGAGGTACTGTGCTTTCCAATGGGATTCAGGGTCAAGTAAATGACATAATGGACTAACGCACCAACCTTGTGCCTAGAATATAACAAACCCTAAAAACGTTTTCTAAATATCTCTCGGTTTATCTGTTATTTACCTATTAGACAATCTATTTTTATCCACCCATCTATGTAGCTATCTCTCAATAACTTAGAAGGAAACCAAAAATAGTCTCAGAGCCCACAAAGATTCTCAGGGCTTTCCCAAGTCATAAGCACTGTCTGCAAAGGACCAGAAGCCACTTAAGCACGTGTGGGGACCTGCAGCCTCAGGGCTCATCCAATGCTTGAGCCGAGCTGCATGTCCCATTTTCGTCGCTAGAGGGCAGCTCTCTCCTGCGTAGGCTGGGTAAGCTAGAGGACTGGGTCTCAAGGCTCCGGACATCACACCTAAATTGTCCGGGGCTCATCCCTGGCCTCCATAGCAGGCGCAACCCTGGCGGAAAAAATCGAGGGTTGAGGGTGAGGTGGCAGAATGCCCCACATAGTCCTAAGGAGCCAGTATGGCTTCTTGCCAGGAAAACAGGTTCTTCACGTCTGGGTTGGGGGCTAGTAGTGTTATCTCCTGTTGCTTATCCTCTTCCAAACCAAAATGAGAACTTATATTTTACAGGAGATTCTGCTCCCGCCATTACCAGGCTCTGTAAAGGCACCTTCTCTGATAAGGTAGTGCACGAGCAAATCTTAGCAAGAAGAAAAAGAAAACTTGCTACATCGAGCACTGAGAACTTTGAACACATGATCAGGGGTGCGCATATGTGAGGTGTGTGTGTGTGTGTGCTTGTAATGAACACATTCTACAGTGCATCCTTAGGGTATGCAGTGCTGTGCAGGGAAGGATTCCTTAGTAAGGATCTTGGAAAAGTAGAAATTTAAAGCTAGATGGAATCTTGGGGTTAGTTTAATCCAACCCTCGTTCTGTAAATGGGAGAAACAGAGACTCAGAGGAGGCAAGTGACCAGTGCAGACATGGCAGAATCAGATTTCCTCTCTGCACCCCCTCCCCCAATCTCTTTAGGGAGATCCCCTCCCTGGCTTCTACCTCAGGCTGGTTTGTTTCTATTAAACAGTTGATGTCAACTCTGACTTAGTTTCTCTTGCTGACCTTAAGTAAGCTGACAGAGGGGAAACAGAAAAGGAAAGGAGGCTATTTTTAGGGACAGTGCAAAGATACCCAGTGCCCCCAGCACCTACCTAAACGCTGGGAACATTGTCAGTGGTGGATAAATATGTGTTAGGACTACTGAAGGAATGTGAGGTGGTGGGATATCAAGCTTAATTTGCATACCTCAGTAAGAACTGATCTCTTCCCATCTCCCACTCTCCTAGTCCCACAGGCATGCATTTCTGATTCATTACTTTTTAATATTAATGGCGGCAGTGGGTTGTGAGGAATTTATCCTTTTAAGATGCTTTAAATATTTGTCAAGAATTAATAGATTTTGCCAACAAACCTGCTCTAGAAATGAGACTCGAACAGAAACTTCTCTTACAACATCTTATAGGTCTTAACAGCATCTGTTTTGGGGCATTTGGGTTCTTTCCGTATCTTAGCTATTGCAAATAGTGCTGCAATAAACATAGCAGTGCAAGTTTCTTTTTGAATTAAAGTTTTGTGCCCTGTGGGTAGTTTCCTAGGAGTGGAATTGCTGGGTTATATGGAGCCTTCTACAAATCTCAGTATGGTGACAAAGCAGCTCTGTACTCGG